CCATCAACGTGGACACTGGACACGACGCAAACTAAATACAGACACCCATTTAGAACCCCGTGATTGGTTGATTGAAAACCGAAGTCATTTTTATTGACGGCGTCGATTCGGATCGGATTGGATTAAAAAGTGAGGAGATGCTGAGATTGAGATGCCTGAGGAAAGAGTGTGTCGTCACTCACCAGCAAAGAGATGAGTCAGCCTCTAGTCGGATGAGCTCGTGCCAAATGTTGGAATGTAGTCGATCACTGTAAGGACAAGACGATCCCACACGCACTTTTTCGATGCATTCCAGCTTCTGTAACAAGGCTGCACATGGAGGATGTTACTAATTTGCGAATATTGGTATGCAATATGATTAATAGAGTGTCCAACTGCTAGGGTTCACTTGGTATAATGTAGTTTGTTACTTAAAAGTGTTCAACTTGGTTGTTGTGCACTTCTGAACACTTCCCGCCCCACACAGAGTGCGTCCAATTGAAGGAAGCGTTCGATAGAGCAGTTGAACACTTACCCTCGTTGGGTTGGTCGCGGACGTATCAAGTTAAGAATTGGTTCTTATTGTTTCCACGCTCGGGGCAGCGCATGCCCACGATGGCGTGAGATGGGCAAGAGGCAGAGGGTGCAGGCCTCCGCTGCCGCCGCCTGCTTCCTACAGCTCCCAGCGCGTAGGCAACCCAACGTACTCGCACGTCTTAGCCTCGACGACACCCGGGATACAGCAGTTGAACACTTTATTTATCAGTGTGCAGAAACGGAGTACTTCACGGGATTAACCATGCATGAGTATAGAAGGAAAGGGTTGTCCTTACGCACAAACCGATGGCGCATGAGGTCTACAGCACCACACAACTGGCGAAGCACGGCGTCCATCGCCTCCACCAGCCGTCGGAACTCGTTGAAGTCCTCATAGTACTGCATGCGTGGGAGCGTTCGGGAGAAGCAGCGCACTAGACGATGAAGTTGCCTGAAGCAGGCGAGTAAGCAAGCGCAACCTTTTAATAAAAATGATTGCTCATCGTTTGGAAACAAAGAAACCACCATCTCGACCCACTTGCAGTTGTCTTCCAGGACGGGGCCGTCGTTCAAGACCACTCCGGAGCCCAAAACTCGGCCAGACCGCTCGCCTACGGATTTAGGGCTGAAAAGAAAACGATTATGTAAAGGGCGTGTCAAATCGCTCAGATCAGCTTTATCCGGGGCGCAGGATCCTCTCTCACCTCGTGCCCGGGTACACAATCCTCTCTATGGCGGGGAAGTCCCTCTCGAGGTATATGTGCAGGCAGATGCCGATCGACTTCTGGTCGGGAAGCTGCCATGACCACGCAGCAGACTGCTGCCCCTTGCCCGTGCCCGCCGCAGCTGAGATGCTGACCTGGGCCAAGGCTGCGTATCGCACATCAACGACAAAGGGCGGAACGTCAAACTTTTGCAGTTTTGATTAGAGAAGTAAGCAGGTTGTTGTTGTTGCAGGTTTCTCGCAGCAGTCTCTCGGGTTTTCTCATAAGCAGTCACAACAAGAAGGGTCGTAGGGGGGCGCGCGACGGCGCGGGGTCAATGAAATCACGTTTCAATGAAAAACAATCGAACCGCAGGGGAGGAGCCTCGCTCCGAGCTTTGGGTTGGGGCCACAATGACTCAGGGGAACCTGGCGCGCGAGTGCCCGCCCCCTCTCTCTCTTTTTTTCTTCACCGTCATGATTTGGTTGCCTCTGTCCTCGCGGCTTTGGGTGAGGAGAGCCACACTGGCCCCAAACATGACTCTATACCTTCCTTTGAGCACGCACCCGCGCGGGCACGAGCCCTTATTGAGGGCGCATTCGCTTCCCTTCCCTCTGCGCGGGAGAAGTAACAAGCTCTATTGCAGCTGCTTCCCGTCATATCGGCGCGCCGCCGCCCCACCCATTGACGCGATTGCCTCGAGCTGCGGCCACCCGCGCGTACTTGCGAGCATAATAATTGACGATTTATATAATGACGCGCTGTGCAATAATGAGCACCAGAGCAACCAGATTTTTTTTGGCTTCCGTCTCAGGAGTTTTGGGCGAGTATTGTGGATAGCTGGCCAACCGGCCTAGCACCGCAGACCCTAATCTTGGCCCTCGTCCAAGCTCAATGCAAAACGTGGGAAAACGGGAGGGAGGGGTCAGACCCCCCACCCCTTAAAATGTTTGAGAGGAATGTAGGGTGCGCAAAAAAAAGCCTCCATGCGCGGAATGAACTTCACTGGAGGTTCGGTTTTAGGAATTCGACCTTGATCGCATTGACAATGTAGACTACATTACGTCCGGGGAGGCCGGCATAGTACGCACGACGTAGTGATTGCATACCTGTCCCGAGAAGAGGCAGGATCAGCAAGCATGGTCCCAGTCCCAACTCCATTTCATTTCGAGGGACTGCGCCTTTCAACGACCTGTAAAATGTAGCCTACGTTAACAAGACGTCTTGTGAGACGTACCACGAGTCACGTCACGGTGGCAGGGCAGGCGCCGTAGTCACAATTTCATTGAGGGGGAGATCATATAAAGTCGCACTTTCGACTACTTGGGCGAATTCATTATGAGTCTTCCTCCTGCACGGTCTCCCCCTATGGCTACTCGCCTATAGGGCGATGGTGACACTAAAGCACCAGTAATGACGCCAACACAAGTTCACAAGTTGCTCGCCCGAGCCTACTCACTCGAGACCGTCGCGAGGTCACGACCCGTCAGCACTGAATGCGCGACATGTGAGTAGGACGCGGTCTGACCAACGACATGCCGATATTCTCGTCCTACTAACAGGTCTCCACGCTGACGACTGAGCTCAGCGCATTCACAGAAACCGCCGCTGCCCCC